TCTTAACTCAGAAAATATTATAGCAGAAAATATTATAGAAAATAATATATTATCCATAAACGGATTTTTCTAAATAATTCATATTTAATGTAGTAGCTGAGTTTTTGTTATTTTTATTTATTTTTCGATTAATAAAAATAATTTGAAATATTTTAGCCATCATTACGCAGAGATAAATTAAACTATATAAATACATGATGTGCAGACTATATAAAAATATACATTAAAATAAATATATATTTTTGCCTACTATTAGGAACCATTAGGAAAGATGGTCCTCAGAAAGAATGAAATTTAGCACTAAGCTCATCATTCCAAATTTAAAGTATTAGAAAACAAAAATTATGTTATAATTACTTCATTTTTAATAAGTCTTAAATAATAATATTTGCCATTTTCGCTTTTAAAGATTTTACATAGATATATAATTCAATTTTATAACAGTTGTTGAACAGCGGACCCAATTTTTGGATTTACGACTAGTAATGTTCAATTGCGTAGCCTTGTATTTTTGAACCCAATGCAGAAGACAAGGGAACTCCTGGATAAAGTATTAGAAGAAATTTGCCTTCGTGGAGAACTTTTTGATGGAGCTAACCCGCCTTTGCGTTACATGGAAAGGAAGATCACGAGAACCATCCACGGCAAGGGGACTCTAATCCATGATCCATCTGCCACTGAGGTTATTTCACGTCAGCACTGTGGTGGGTGCCAGCCGGATGCGGAATTCGTATCGACCAGCCATCGCCGGGATCCGAACCCTGTTCACTGCATTGGAAGGCGAACGATCTATCCCCCTGAACCATACCGGCTCATAGATATGTAATTAACGTAACGTCGCATACAAACATGACTTAATTTTTAAAAACAGTAAGGCAAAATATTCCCATTTACTCATTTATGGATCACACTTGCCAACATTTACTCAGTCTGAGGATGAATTTCTCAAGAGGTTTGCGAAGAAAAAAAAAATTCAAAAACAATTGCAGGTAAATTAATATTAATAACTTGCCAGAGATTAGACAGATCGCTTAAATGAGTTGCATTTATATGTATGATTGATTGAACTATCTGTAGAGGGGATAAAATAATTTTAAAACTAATTTAAAAATACAATAATTATAAAGAAAATTATACATTTTATTACCTCTGTAAAATGAAATGCTACGAAGAATCCATAGTTGTTGACAGCTTTGTCAGACTGTTTTTAACCCCTTGGGGACGGGTGATTCAGACACGCATTCGCACAAAATCAGAATCAAGTTGTAATTAAATAAAAAACGGTAACTTAAATGTAGTCGTTGCTAATTTGACAGACTTACTTTGCTTTTACTTTAATTATTTTTACTTTGATCATATATATAATCAAAGATAATTCAAAGTATAACTAAATAGTTTTATTTTGAACAAAGTAATGGTGCATTAAATAAATCAAAAAATTATTACTCCGCCTACAAATAAACTGTTAAAGAACTACTTTGGTTACCAGTTTTATCTTTCTACCCTGATTGATACGAGTTTATGCTGGCACGTATTTGTGACAGTCGGCGCGAAAGGGTTAACTTGACTTGATCTGTGTATTTTTTTAAAGTACCAGCCTGCGTTAGCGGTGACTAGACTCCTTTATCTGAGGTTCTTATCTAGGGTGACTAAGACTGATGGCCTAAATAATAGACCTTCTAACTACAGTGGATTGCGTGTAATACATCATTTTTATATTTAAAGTGGTAATAAAAATTACAATTATTTTTTAATTATTGGCAACAAAGCTGTGGAAGTTTTCGCTATCCACAATAAACAAATCAACTAACCGATTCAGCATTGCATTATATTTTAGAAAATGAACTAAAAACGTTACCTCTTCCGAAGAATCGATTTTAATCAAGCTTACAGTTTTTTGTGCTGGATAATGTGACAGAGGACATACTCCATTGCGTGATGCTAGGTCGGTTAAATAAGCAATACTTTTTTAAATATCTCTATCATTTAAAAACATCACAACTCTAGTCACTAAGGACTTATATTTATATTTTTGAATTATTTAAATATTATCGTGCTCAAGTTCAGTTTTAATCAGATATGTAAACTGTAGCTTCCACTTTAAATATTTCTAATAAAAAAAAATATTTAAAAATACTCTGAGGAATATATTACAAAAATAAATATTTTAACCTTTTACTTTTTTGAACTATTTTTATAAAAATAATCCCTATTACTAAATTATTTTTGGTTAAAAACTGTAGTGCTATTACTATTTTTGTTCAAAACTATATTAGATGTATCTTTATGAGGCAGAAACTGATGAACGGGTTTTTTAAGCAGACTAGAGCCCTGAAAAGGTTTTTCGTAATTGTGCCTCATTCTCAATTTTTTCTCTCTCATTAAAAAAATACACATTTCTGGTAGTAAAAAGAAGAAAAAATTGGGAGGAAGTTGATTTGATCTAAGTAGAGCGCCAAATCGCGCTGTTAGTATACGTGACGGCGACACAATGGCGGTTTTCTTTCTGGATGAAACACAAAACACACCGGAAGATAAATCTCCAATGACACTTTACGAGGAATTATATTCCGTCGGGATATTTTTTTCTTTCATAAAAGATGAGAGAAATCATTCATGATGAAATACGAATAAGACGTTTGGATTTAAGCCTTGATTTACGAGAGTAGTTGATTAAACTCGAGCGCGATCCGTTAAGTAAATTGGATTTGCTTTGTGATAAAAATATAATTTTGCCATTTAATGCATTTAACATTTTTTTTTTTTAATTTAGTTTGTTTTGGGTCTTGGTATATTCGCTGGACCAATTAACACGTTCACGCCGGGGTGACCCATCGGTGGGTCACGCTAGATTTTCTCATCTTGGCGGCGCACCGGAGTAAAAACTGGTAACAAATAAATTTCATTTTTTAGCTTTTTTCCGGGAATAATAAAAATCCATAACTACCAATTGTTTTTAACGGATGCAATTTTTATGTTGAATTGCTTCTTCGCCGTGATAAATTTCCTTACAGTGAATTATTATTGTTGACAATAGATAAACTCCTCCCGAATATTATCTAATATTGAAATAGTTCTTCTACCAGTATTTTTCTCTTTTCCCTTACCAGTATTTTCACTTTTCCCGGCGTGAACGTGTTAAACGGGATTCCCTGCTCAGATTATTTAGTGTTAGTCTCCTCATAAAGCGATCCGGATTTCGATTTTTCAATCCAGCGGCTTTTAACGACCAGCTACCCTGTTCATTTTTTTTAATACAGAAAAACATTTTCTTTAAAGTTTAGGTAATAATTTTCAAAAGAATTGAAAGCTATCATTATAATTGTGACCAAATACAGCCAAAAGAAAAATATCCAAAAAAAAAAAAAAAAAGAGAGAGAGAGAGTGAGTCGTAAAAAGCCGTTGGATTGTAAATTAGCATCTGTGTCAGAATTCTGTCAATAGCTGGCCAATTAATAGCGACTTACCGTAAAGAGAAAAACTCTCGAAAATTAAAAAAATCTGGTTATGAAACCTTTTAATTTCAAGGTTGTTTTCGGATGAAGGTAAAGTAAAATAATAATGACTAATTACAGTTATATAGCATGCATTTACACGTAAAATCTCTCACAGCCTTGAGTTTTTTTCTTAAATCAACTAAAAGCTAAAATCATATGGGTTTTTCTTTTCTTTTAAAAACAAAAATTATACCACGTTTTTTTTTTCAGGACAACAAAAAGTCTTGTATACATTTTATATCAATAATAAGTAATGGTGGATACGGACCTTTTACTCATCTCAAAAACTAGATAGAGTTATAATATTTTTAACAGAAGCTTTTTTTCCCCTCATTTATTAGAAAAGCACTCGGCAAGGTTTTCTCGCGACGGTAATTAAATACCATTTTCAATAAATACTGCTCACTAACATGCTTATTCGCTGGTAGATGAATGTTACAGAGCATCGCTTCATCTGATGAAAGTTTTTGTTTTTCCTTTATATATATAATGCAAAAAATGAGAGTTAGTTTCACCTAGAAAAATTTACCACAAAGCAAACTGTCTCGTTGCTTTATGGAGAATTTCCTTCTCTTCTTGGTAGGGTTCAAAATTGCAAGGCTACAAAGTTGAACATTAGTAGTCTAAAATCCGAAACAGATGTGGTTTACTGCCGATGATAAAATAAAATAAAGCAACGTGTGATTTCAGTTAAATATTAACCCTAAGCAGTTTTATTAAGAGGACGCCATACCGAGGGAGAAATTTTTCGCCAGAAGTTCTCTTTCACCTCTATTACTAATTTAAAATTAAGAAGAAATAAAAAGAATTAAGAGAAACCAAAAGTGAGCCATAAATGTTTGATAAAAATTTAAAATATCAAAATACAAACAAATTTATTGGAAGTCGACTTCTCCACTGCGTAATCCTAAATTATATTCTCATAATTTATTTTCATTTTCATATTTTAAAAACTTACTTTCAATGTTTTAAAATTTATGGCTTATATCTGAACTCATTTTTTTCAACAATTTAAATTAGTTATGAAATAGAAAGATAATTTGCCACGAATAGCTTCTCTCTTGGTATGGCGTTCTCTTATACCTGTTAGAATTCATTTTTGTTGATGAACATAATATACAGAATAATTAAGAATACGTTTCTATGATGAACACTTCTTTGAGACGTTTTACTTATAAGCGAAATATAAAATGCTTTTAACATTCAACGACACACAATTCATAAAATTAGCAATAACAAATATCAAGAAAGTAATAAGCGACCACTATAAAGTTTATCTAAAATAATTTAAATGCGCTAAAAGAATTAAAAAACAAAACTCATTGTTTAATGTAATGGTATATTAATAATTGTATTATTAGTGGTATTTGCAAAATAAAAATATTGCTGACTGGTATCTTTCATAGAAAGTGAGCTGGTTTAATGCTGTGCTTAAAAATAGATTGTTAAACGAATAGAGGCACTTACTTAAACATAAAAAGTCAATTGCAGTTTCAAACGTACTTTTTCATAAGAGATTTCAAGCCTTGCGCCGTGTTGCCACCCTGCAAGAACTATTTCCCTGCTACTATCGTGCAGACATAAATCTGTCAAGTAGAGGCCCACTTCTTGCATCTCTTGAAGATTACTTAACCTGTTGGGGGAAGGAAAAAAGAGGAATAAAAACACACTAAAGATGACAAAAGGCACAGTCACACAGAATGACAGGCATTTCTATATTTTTTAAATTACAGAATTGCCACGGGCGGGACTAAAAAATGCAAAAACTGGTGACTAATAAAATTCAAAATCATATTAAAAGAGATTAGAGAGATAGGTAATTTTTATACCAATTTTTTTCCAGTTAATTATTGAAAGGAAATGCAAGTTTTTGCTCCAAATTGAACTGAACTGATTCTTGTTACGAAGTACCTGTCCGCCAGGGACTAATATAGGTACCTAATTAATACAGACTAATAAAGTACCTGCCCGCGAAACAGATATCTCACTTCTTTATCAGAGGTAGAGCCCATGGACAGCTGAGATAGTGGTAGTAATAAAAGGTCAGTGCAACTGAAGTATCAGAAGCGGTAGCAGTTTAAACCGAAGGTCCTGCTTGTATCTAAGGAGAGATTAAATATTTTATGTAGTGGGGGGGGGGACTCCCTGCATACTCCCTCGCCTCCTCCCGGCAAGTTGGGTTGCTACAAATTGGCGTTTTTTGGTTTAAATAATTAAAGAGATAATAAATAAAGAAAGATGAATTGAATTTCTACCACAATTTACATAAATAGTCGCCTGTGGCGTCCCTGAAATTATGATATGCGTGGCTGCTAATTTGTACTATTGTTAGGAAAGATTCTGCGGTGTGGTAGTAAAATAATAATTAAGCAAAAATTTTCTTAACTTTAATCTTCTTTAGGAATGCTCTCACGTGCTATTAGATCAGCTACAACAGAGATTAACTGTTTGAGGCTTGTGCGATTTTTTCTTCCTTTTTTTGTGTGGTAATGAATTAAAGCAGATTTTTTTTCTCAAAGAAACAGAATTTTTACAAAAATTTGTTAGAACTTAAGTATTTGTCTATATGACATTATGTATATCTTTTAAATTACTGATGAGAACAAAATTAAAATTTTCTTAACTTTAATCTTCTTTAGGAATGCTCTCACGTGCTATTAGATCAGCTACAACAGAGATTAACTGTTTGAGGCTTGTGCGATTTCTTCTTCTTTTTTTGTGTGGTAATGATTTAAAGCAGATTTTTTCTCTCAAAGAAACAGAATTTTTACAAAAATTTGTTAGAACATAAGTATTTGTCTATATGACATTATATATACATTTTAAATTACGGGTGATAATAAAATTCTTTTAATTTTAATTTATTAAAATATTAATACATTCAAAAAGTCCCTGCTAGTTCAGTAAGTTAATTTATACTTCCTATAATTCTATATCTAGTTACTGATAACTAAATCATTTATAAATTATGATAAGTGAGCGTCTTAATTCACCAAGACAACTGATAATACTAAAAAACAGAGAAAAAAAATTTCCTACCACAATAAATGCTTCTGAAAAAAGGAACTGCCCGAAAAGTATGACGCTTGCCTGGACGTTAACCAATTAATAAATCAGTGGTCCCCAAACCCCTGGGCCGAGGACTTGTATCGGTCCGTGGATCAAACTGTACTGGGCCGCTAATGAAACAATTATTTCAATTTTATTTACTGTGGCATATTTCTCTCGAGTTTGTGCTACTCACTATGAACCAGAGATTAACAGGAAGCTGCTGAGACGTGTAGTAAAGCCTCACCAATACCGCGCATGTAGCTGTATTTTTTTAAGGCTAATTTAAATAATAATTAAATTAAAAATGCTAAATCAAAACGATCTAAAATATACTTAATCCCCAGCGGGCCGCGGCAAAGTTTTAAAAATCGACCGGTCCGTGGCAATAAAAAGGTTGGAGAGTTAAATGATAGAGATTTATGTTATTTTCGAAAATTCTTGTTCTAGATTTAAAAAATTCATTTGAAATTAATTTTATTTAAAATAATATGATTAAAAACAATATCAAATAAAAGTAAATAACCTTCACGAAAATATACACTGTCTTATATAATAGCTAAGACATTTTATGTTTCATACTCTATCATAACAATACAATGAAAATTTGCAGCTTTTAGTATCTTCTCCCCTAATAAAACAGCAGAACTCCATTCAAAATGGGTTTTGGTCCACAAGAAATGAAGGAACCACCCTTATTCTCAAGAGGGTTTAATTCTAAGGCAAGGATGCTAGATAAAAGCGAAGGGAAACAAGTGTTTGGAATAGAAAGTGACCGCTTTATGAATATATTCTGATCAATTGAGTGAGGCAACGGAGCCAATATATGTCCAGTCTTCGTAAACAGTCATTAAGGGGATAGGGAGTCGGTTGTTTCTTTGCAATTACTCACTTTCTCTCTCCCCGGGATGGTTCGACAATATCGATTGCATTGTTTTCCGGACTCGACATCTGCTTTTGTTCACCCGTTCTCTATCTCTCTATGTTAGGGAGCAAACTTTGCTACTCAATATTTTTCATCGTATTTATAGTATGATATAAATAAATAAATGCATTTTTGAAACTTTTTGATTGATGTAGAATATATTATTCAACTCTTAAATGCCCATTTAAAAATAATAAAGATTTACGATCTTAATCCATTATGGCCGGTTTTTTTAATTTTTTTTATATTGCAGTGATGTGTAAAGTGTAATTGGGTACTTGCAACTGAGCATATCCTTGTCTCTAATCACGTGGTTGTGCATGACTTGTTAACGTTATAGCTGTAAAGCTAGCGTTTACTATCAATTTTCGGATCAGATCTAATTGGATACCTGCAAGCGACGTGACGCGTTGGTGTCGAATATCTGATTGGCTGAGGCTAATAATCGCGTGACGACGCTTCAAGGTATCCAATTATTAGTGAGTGGTAAATCATTAATGTTTAAATTAAGTGGCCACTTTCTTATATTACTAAGTGCATTACTAAGTACTACTTATATATATGTATATATATATATATATTTCATGGGGGGGTTATCACTGTCAACTGTTTACAATTTTTATATTAGTTTTACCTGCATTTTTCCATTACGATGGTGTTTAACTTCTCTGTAATTTTAACTTTTTTGTGTTCGACTTTATTACATTGTGANAGCTATGTAGATAACTTTTTTTCTTCTTCTAAATTTGTAATTTAAACAAATAAAACAGAATCAACGCAGCTCACCTAAAATACGAGGAAGTTATGTACAATGTATGTATATAATATCTATATATATACAGTCAAACCCCGCTATAGTGAACTCCCGGATATAGTGAACCAAAAAAGTGAGGAAGTTGGATATAATGAACTTTTTTCTGTCTTCGGCTGATTTTTCTTCTTCACTTTTTCGTAATAATTTTGAAATTTCTACTTCAAAATAAATACATATACCGATTTTTAAAACCATATATAGAGGGGGATGTAGCGATAAGCATTTTTTTTTTATTGCTTCTTTTACCTCACTTTCCTATCCCTAAACAAACCAAGCAGATGTTTCCAACTCAGGCAGATGATGCACCTGTAAGGTGTCAGTGGTATCAATATGCATTTTCTGTCAGAGGGAATGAGTAATTATTCATTATTGGTTAAAGGGTAGGACACTAATATGCGTTGATAAGGCCCTCATTTCAACTTCTTTTTGCTCTCAGTTCAGTTAAAAAAATCCTGCAAACTAGTGTCTCAAATTTAACTATGACGAGCAGTAAACGTAAACCGTTCTCCATTGATGATAAAATGGACATAATCAGAAAAATTGAAAATGGATGCAATCAAGCTGATATTTGCAGGGAATATAAACTATCCAAATCTGCAGTTTGTAACAAATGGAGAAATAGGCAATTAATAATTTCTGCTCATAAAAAAATTTAGATCACAAGGATGTTGAAGAAGCATTACTGAAGTGGTTCACCAATCGAAGAAGCCGCAATCTTCCAGTATGGCAAATGTCGATGAATTTGCTAGGCGATTTTATGTTAGTACTTTTATGTGCTCGAATGGAAGGTGAGACAGGTTTAAAAAGCGGAATAACAGAAATTCAGAAAAAATTATCTAAGAGTCGGGAAGTGTTTCCATATCTGAAATTGAGGATTGCTCATCAGCTAAAGATTACTATTTTTTTTTGTGCGCAAGACGAAAAGTAATGAAATATAACACATTTTTTGCTACTACATAATATTTTCCAGTAATTTATTTGAATAATGTGTAATAAAAGGGAGCAGTTTGGGAACCATTAGTTAAATTGCCTGCGTAACGGATATAGTGAGCTCCCGGTTATAGTGAAACAAAATTTCGGTCCCTTTAAGGTTCACTATAGCGGGGTTTGACTGTATATATATATAATTCCTTCTATTATAGTCTAAAATTAAAAGCTATATAATACTTAAGCATCACAGCAGACAGTCATGTTTTGTTTGACCAATATATTATTTTAGAATGAAATAATTGTGTTACAACTTTTTCTGTGTTTGGGAAAAAGAAATGGCAAATTTTCTTGCCTAGTGAATGTAATTAGAAGAATTAATTAGAAACCAAGAAATCAGTTCGAAAGGTGCGTTCTAATGTTAATCCTATGAAAAAAATATCAAATATAAACAATTTATTTCTTACAATGAAAAGTGAGGCCATGAAAAAAATTGGTGATAATTTCTTGTAGAGATAATACATTCCATAAATATTTAATGCAATTTAACTACTATAATTTTTTTTTAAAATTTAACGGTAATTTACGGTAAACTTTTCCAAAAATTGATTGCAACACTTATAGATTAAAATTCTAAAAAATTGGTGGGTAAGATTTCATAAAAGTTGATGCAAACTTGTCACTATAAATACAATTTCAATTAATAAAAATAAAAAACGACGAAAGATTGTAGTACTGATTAGATAAAAACTGAATCATTTATGTTTGTGGTAATCTCTAATGGATAATTTCTTTGAAAAACAGACCGGAAAGGAAATAGATTTGCTACCACTTTTTAAACTTTTGTATAAATCGCACAAATTTCAAGAAACTTATTTTTGCGTGACCCGCTTGTAATGTGTAAAAAGAAATTACATTAAAAAAAATTTTTATAGAAAATAACATACAATTTACTATTGAAAGTAAGTGCAAAGAATGTTTTTGCTTTGAAATATGAATAATTTGAAATGTAAGTATAGTGGTAGTTACGATTGATTAATTAAAGCATCATAAATTTAAAAAAAAATTCAGTTTCTACCACTTTTAGTCGTCTGGGGCATCCCTGATAATATAAACAATAATATTGCGTAATGCATACCTGCCTTTCGAGGATAATTTTTCCCAGTGGTAGTAAATTGGAATTCAAATTGCATTTTTAAGCAGGACTTACGCTGTATTTTTACACAGCTTATGCAGACTACCATGGCACTATTAAATATATATATATACTTAATTTTTTTAAAAATAGTGGCGGTTAAAAGGATTATAAATTAAGTTTATAAATGCAAGGAATATATAGAAAGCATACATTTTACTATCACTTTAAATATAGAAATAAAATTTTACGCATTATAAATTAAGTTTATAAATGCAAGGAATATATAGAAAGCATACATTTTACTACCACTTTAAATATAGAAATAAAATTTTACGCCAAATGCGTAAAAGTTGGCAGGTATGCATTACGATCGTGCGTCTTTATGTCTGCTTGAAACTTAACAAAAATTAGACATTTTGGAAGGACATTTCTTCATCTAAATACGGGTGTCTCGTATTTACAGTATCAGGTCTGATTTTAATTTTGATTCATTTCCTTTCCATTTTTGAGTCAAGAAAGTGCAAAAGTTAGTGTTACTGTTTTGTAGTAGTGTCGATTGCAGCTCTTGCGCCATTAAACGTTGCATAGTACCTACCATTGTTTCAGCAAATAATTTTATTATTGCTTAAAAAAGTTAAATTTAGTTTTAAAAAAAGTTAATTTTATTATTAAAGAAGTTAAAAAGACTTACAAAGGGACGCATAAATAGATGATGGCGTCCCAGTCCTCTATCAGTCTCATCTGGCCCTTCAGTAGCAGATTTCGCGTGGACGCACTGTTCCTTCGATCACATATGGGATGCTTTGTAAACCTTGAATTCAGACATTCTAGTTCTATCACAACCTTTTGTAATATAAATATCTGCAAAAAAATATTTTATTAAGAATTTTAGGACATTTATTTATTTTTTAAGTCAAATTAATGACTTTTGCAAATAATACGAAACTTTTACACTCATCAAATAATCTACAAAGAAAAGTATCATGGCAGTCTGATTAGATTTTTCTATTTTTTTTTCTTGCTGTTCTTGACTTATTTTTTTAAATAAGTTTAAAAAAAACATTTCAAGATTTTAGCCTCCTTTTTTATTCTCAAAGCATATCTAAAAAATTCAAATATTTTAGCTAAAAGCGGTTGTTGAGGGGAAGAGGTGTAAAAGACCTCGTACCGTGAATCTACGCGAAAACTACGTGAACTTTGCGGCATCATCAACTTTTAGTCAAAATTGTTATTAAACATTTTCATGATTTAAGAATGTGGAAAGGACAATTTAGGAGCTTAAATATCGAGAAAGTAATATCAATAATTGCGAAAGAGTCAGATTTTTTTTTTTTCCGTTTACAAATTAAGGGTTCACCATCAAAGTTTCAATCCTTCTTAAATTGTTCACATATTCGAATTTCTCCTTTCGCTATTCCATAAAAAGAAACTTAATCTTAAAAATTATCACTTCCACCACCTCAGAGAATTCCTTAAGTTTTCGTCATAAGGATTGAAATTTTCATTTTACGAGCGCTTCCAATATCTCACCCGATTTTAGCAAAAATTATAATTATTTATTTATTTTATTAGAGGGTATTTGGATGAAAAAAAGGGTACTGTAAGCTAGTATACGAGAAAAAAATCAATTTAAAAAAAAATAAATGTTTTTCTTAACAAATTTAAGAGGAGGGGGATTTTTTTCTAAAATATTATTTTTTGCAACTACTGTTCATGCTTTGGGACTAATCATTACTTTAGTAGCCCCTGTATGTTGCAAAGTAAAGATATTTCATCCTTCAAACCACATACATGCTCATTACAGTATCAAAAGAATAATTATTTTACGTCAAGATTTATTATCCATAGTATCAGAACAGGTTTTTTTTTTTTTTTTGATAGCGCGAAAATAATTACTGCATTTATTCGAGCGAATATTTACCAGATTTGTATTATTATTAAAAACTGGTAGATATATTAAAGTACACGCTTTTTAAATTGGATCCCGTTTCTGATGTTTGCTGTTATAACAATTTGCCTATTTAAATTCTGGGTACAGAACGCCTAGCTAAGGAGGCTATCTACTCCTTCATTGAAATTTAATAAGATTAAGGGGGTGGGAAAATTACGTTGGTAAATTAACATTATAATAAAATACACTAATACGTTATGTACAAAAATGAAAAATCTGGAATAGGAAAAAAATTAAATACATATGTGCATGATAAAAAAAAATGTACATGATATAAGAACGATAAAAAAACAATAAGAATCTTGATTTCCTGCATCACTCCCTAGCCACCCCACCGAATGGCTTGTACGATGCATTCCATCTGAATAAGTTGTGAATTAAATTGATGAGTAATAGAAATGTCTTGATAAAACACCATCACTTAGGAAAAAAGCAGTCGCTGGACTAAACTTAATATTTGTGTGTCGATTTATTCAAAATTGAAGATTTGTAGCTATAACAAACCTAAAATCCCATTTTTTGTCTACTTTTTCAGAACAAAAAAATGGCAATATTAACATTTCTTCTTTATAAAATTTAACGTATCTGAAGATATGTTCGTGAATTTGCAGAATAGCATGTTGAAAGTGCTGAATATCCTTAACACCACTTCCACGCGTTCACGAACCTATACTATGCACCATATTTATTGCTAAACAATTGCAGTTCTCTGCGAAATTTGCGCACTTTACCGAAATAACACTTGAAGTATGCGTAAAAGGATTTCAAAGATTGTGTTCTAATGTTTAACAGCCCTTAACGTTCACTTACACACATTCATTGCGTATGTCTGTGACACAGATATCCCCACAGCTGCGTTTACCACCGCAAGCGCAGTAACTTTCTTAAATGCAGTTTTGAAAGTAAGAGAATATGGAGCGTAACAGCTAAAAATCTTTAACAATAAAAAATATAGCACTTTTATACAGAATCTGGAAAGTCCACGTACGTACGTTCACTAGAGCGCATACAGAATATTCTCGATTCTTTGCAGAGCTTACACATTTTATAAGCGTGTGAACTCGAGAATGCCATGTGAAAGTTCCATGTTTCACAATTCCTAAAATTCACGTGCGCCTAATCAGAAGTAACTGCTCTGTCCTAGTTACTAAAGAAGATGCGTACGTGAGCATGAAGGAGGGGGAGTGAAGGAATGATTTCATAAAGTTTCTGTTGTCTAATTTAAAGTTCTTACTTTGTCCCAAGTAAAAGGAACTCTTGGTCTGTGCATGAGGAAGAAAGTTTCAACCGGAAGACCAACCATCTCTTCTCCGCCAAATAACTCCCTGGATTTCTCACCCACCTCCCGGATAGTCATTGTCCGGTCAAAGGCTATCGAGAAAGGGAAGAGCTGGAAAAGGTAGACACAGGAAACAGAGCCAAGGTCCGTGTGTTCGATCATGTTCCTTCTAGCTGCCTGGGCATTCTGGTAAGGTGTGTTGTCAAACCTGCAAGTAATGGAAAGATATGTTTATTTATAAATATGAACTTCAAACATTTCAGGATAAGAAGTGATGGCATGAATTCTATGTACTATTAGTACATTAAGCCAAATGTCGTAAGTAATTTTTATTACCTAATTATTAAATGTTTAAAGTCCACTACGCATTTTTTTTCCTGAGTAAGATGATAGAAACAAGAAAGTGAAGCAGAAAATGTTCATCTATAAACAATAAATTTTCACAACTGCGAGGCAGAATTTAAGTATTTTAAGAGGACGCAATACACCGAGAGAAACTTTTCAAGCGCAATTATCTTTCACTTGCATGAGTAATTTAAATTATAGAAAATGTGGTGATTGGTGATCAAGCAAACCTAGAGTAACCGGATATTTTGAGAAGAAATTTTCAAAATATCAAAATGAAAAACGAATGATGAAAGGATGACTCAGAATTACATAATGGAGTAGTTCTCTCCCAATAATTTGTTTACGTTTTGTATTTTGAATTTTTTTAGCTATTATAACTTCATAGTTTGTTATTGTTTTGACTGAATCACTTTTTCTATACTTTAAATTTAAAAATTATTATAGATGTGAAACAGATGCGTTGAAAAATTTTCCCCGTGATATAGCATTCTCTTTGTCCCAAAAATATCTGATGCTTTGAAAAATCATTTAGAAAAAACTGAAGCAGATACACAAAGACACGTTTTGCTTAGGAAACCAATTATTTGTTCTCTTCAAATCACAGAATTAGTTTCTAAGTCTGTCAGCAGAAGGTACTAATGTCTGAGAAAACTATGAAATAATATTTATCGATAAATTACAGGCTGAATATTGCACGAACTGAAATAATTTCACTGTCTTCAGTTAATTTTACTCTCAGTTTGTGTTCCTTCATTACTTCAAATGATGATTGTTTAGAGAGAAAAAAATGTGTTATAGTTATTTCCCAGTTACAACCGCATTTCTTGATGAACTCAGCTACCAATTTTTAAATTTTTGAGTTAATTCTGTTTCCATATCGATTTACTTAAAATGGTTTAAAATTTTGGATATCCGACGTAAACTGAAACGGCCAGTTAAGGTTTTGCTGGTTCTGAACAAAACTAAGTTTTGAATGCATATTAATGTGAAACAATGACAAACCAGGAAGAAATGGGGGGGAGTAGGCTGGAATTTATTAGGCTTCGTGTTTTCTTATCATTTTAACTTTACAAAGTCGTGCACAAAATAAAAAATGGAATACCGGAGTATCTTTTGATAAGATCAAATTTTCACTTGTGAATATGCTTTCTTAATGGCTTTTAAAGAGTTGACTTTAAATAAGTTAATTAACTACCGCAGATGAAATTTTAAATTATGAAATAAGAAAAAAAATCTTATTTTCTCCGAATAAACAGTTTGTCTAAAAGTCTCTCAATTTTGTGACCATATTAAATTTTCACTGCAAGTATCAGTGTAACACTAAACATGAACTTCTTAACACGTTAAATGCCACGCTAATTTTACATGGCTTGCCGGTCTGTTCAAACGGTAAATAACTAAAAACTAAATTTGCAAATATTATACAGATTTTGCTAGTTTTTTAATGCAATGGCCCTTTTCCCATTCATCATGAAATACTGGATGCGTGTGCAGAATACTGGATACAAAATTGAAGAAGTCCAAAATGAGTTGAGGAGAAAAATGGCACTTGGCCATGGAGCAAAAAAGATTATATAAAGGTGAGGAAAAGCTGAGAAGTGGTTTGAAATGAGTTGGAAGTACTCCACAAAAAATTAAGTCCACTGTGCATTACTTGAAGAAAATATATTGCTGTTTGAAAGATTACTAATCCCGATTGGCATCACCATCGCTAATATTTAAACCCGAAGGAACCAATCGGTCGTCAGTAGAGTTTAGTTTTGCCAAACCCTTACTTGCGAAACATGCTTCTACCAAACGGGTTCAAACGCAAATGACGGCCATTACAATTTGATTGGTTAGGCCTAATTGGTAGAATTGCTTTGATCAAAGCAAAACAATTTACTTCATGACATATCTGGTCTGGTCTGTTTGGTCTAGCTGGGCTCCTGAGGCCAATAATGGCCCTTTTCCCATTCATCCTGTATTGACAACATGAGCAGAAACAATAGACAGATTACATAAAATGCAACAAATAATGGCACATGCTAAGGTAGAGAAAAAAGAATGGCACTTTGCCATGGTAATGAGTAACAAATAATTGAATGTATAGAAAAGTTCAAGACATATTTACAAGTAGGGAAACGAAAATTACACGAAGGAAAAATATTTACAAAAAAATGGGAAGAATTAATAAATATTCATAATGAATAACGTTAAGATAAAAAAAAACTTCATTTACAAAAAAGTGCACCTCTGTTAAAGTAGAGACCCGACCGTCCTTGTTATAACCACTCGTGTCGGATTTATCTCGTCCTGATCAGACTAGCAGGCTTTCCACAATCTGTATGTTTTTACTCAGTGCATGTTTTTAAGTGTGAGAAAAACATCAGATGTAAAAAAAGTGAGCCAAAGGTCTGATACTAGCGTTCTCAACTAGGTTGATGCAGTCATGACATATCTGCAATAAGTGGTGAAGTATATAAACCTACGAATTGTTTACAAATAGTGGTGGATAAAAATAAACCAAATTTAATTTATTAAACAAGGAATCACAATTAATAAACTACCTCTTGAAAATATTTATTCGCTGTCCGAAGCAAGTTGACATCTCTGTGTGTATAAATAAAACTATTTTTTCTTTGTGTTCTATATTGCATTAATTTCTTCAAACCATTTTAGTAATAATAATATTAAAAAGAAATTAAAAATTTACTCGAATTATGTGTTTCTAATAATCTTGGCTGCAACGGTGACCCCTATAGCATTCAACGTGTTAATGAATCAAGGAGTGAATTAGACTGTAATACTAAAGAAAAATAATTATAATTAAGAGTAGAGAAAAAATTTTTTTTACCAGTTTTTAATTTAAAATATAGTATTAAACTAATTTCACTGTAGCCAATTCATTAATAACAGAATTTCTTTGTTTAATCCTTTTTAAAACTGTCAGCTTAATATGACAACATGAGCAATAACAATAGACAGATTACATAAAATAAAATGCAACAAATAATGGCACATGTTAAGGTACAGAAAAAAGAATGGCACTTTGCCAAGGTACACATTTATGCCCTGCACTAAGTGCAGAGTTTCAACAACCTTAATTCTACAATTTAATTTCCAATATTTAATTTAATAAGATAATTTCCACTATTTAATTTAATAAGATAATTTCCACTATTTAATTTATTTTCTAATGAGGATGAATACATTCTTGATTTAAAAAAAAATCCTGATAACAAATATCAAATGCACCGAAACGACGTTACTTTCCAGTCCCATTACTATTTACTTAGGATATTTTGCTTAAATATTAACATGCTCGAGCATTTAAGTGAATTTTTGCATGTTCCGATCATGTCAGGAAATATAGTTTTCGAGTAATAGTAACTCCCACACATTTATTCACTTTCAAACGTGTTTTAACTGTTAATAAGAAGCGGCAGTCATGGAAGCCTACATTTATTTTTCTTCTTCTTTTTTTTGGTTTATATTTTAGAATTACGAACAACAAATATTACCTTAAACAAGTCTTATTTGAACAAGTATTTACTTGGGTTGCCTCGACGAAAAAAAAATTAAAAACTGGAGACGTAACTTTTGAAAATTTTATAAAATTAGTTTCAATTCTTTGGTGGTTTAAAAAAAATCAATTGATTCCTGCGTTCCTTTAACCCTTTCGCGCCGACTGTCACGAATACGTGATAGCATGAAACCGTATCAATCAAGGTAAAAATATAAAACTGGTAATCAAAGTATTTCTTTAGCAGTTTATTTGCGGGTGGAGTTATAATTGTTTGATTTATTTAATTCACCAACACTTTGTTCAAAATAAAACTATTTAGTTATACTTTGAATTATCTTTGATTATATCTATGATTAAAGTAAAAATAATTAAAGTAAAAGCAAAGTAAGTCTGTCAAATTAGCAACGACTAGATTTAAGTTACCGTTTTTTATTTAATTACAACTTCATTCTGATTTTGTACGAATGCTTTTCTGAATCACACGTCTCCAAGGGGTTAATAGTAATTAGCTAAATAACATTGGTTTAAAAAGCCCAACTCACAATCGAATTACTTAGAAAACATAACATTCAGAAAAATAGTAATAATTACTTCCAGAAAAAAGGAAAATAATTCAAACTTTCTTTATAAAACAGTACTTATATTTACCCGGAAACAACTCTATTTCATCTTTCTTTTGGAAGAAAGTAAACTAAGTAGAACTACCACTTGTTGTTAACGCATATACTGTTAATATAAATGCTTTTCCAGTTAATAAGTAGTGGTAATTGCGGAGAATTTGCTTTCTCTGAGAGAAAGGTAGAAATAAAATTTTCTTACTAACATTTTTTCATCTATTCCGAATAAGTAGCAATCATAACTATGTAAAATAATGATCACTGTCTCGAAATTAAAATATCAAGGCTATTAGTTTCACATTCCGTATGCTTTAATATTTATGCCTGTTTCCTTTTCGCAAATTTCCATTTAAACTGCTGTTTGTAGAAAATGCAACACCATGAAAGAATCATCAGAATCAAATGAAATTTAATGCAGAAACGACTTGTACTGATACAAATAAATGATGAAATTTTCAAAACAAAAGAAACAAATTAAGCGTCCGAAATCAGTATTTGGTGCAGCCACCACGCGCTGCAATAAGTGCTGCTATACGACGTGGCATGGAGTCAAACAGATGTTGAATATCTGCTTGAGGAAGAGAATTCCATATCGCTTGTATGCGCAACCAAAGTTCGTCTTTGGAAACTGCAGGACGCGGATCACGAGTGAGACGCCGACCAACCATATCCCACACGTGCTCAATAGGCGACATATCCGGCGAATAAGCAGGCCAAGGAAGAAGTTGCATGCGT